TTTTCCTTTTGCTTTGCTTTGCTTTGCGTTGCTTGTGCTTTGCTTTGCTGTCGCTGCTGTTGCTTTGCCTTTGCTTTGCTGCTATGCTATGCTATGCTATGCTCTGCTATGCAATGCTATGCTATGCTATGCTGCGCTGTGCTATGCTGTGCTGTGCTGTGCTGCGCAATGCTATGCTATGCTATGCTATGCTGCGCTATGCTATGCTATGCTGGGCTATGCTATGATATGCTGTGCTGCGCTATGCTATGCTACGCTATACTATGCTATGCTGTGCTCTGCTATGCTAAAGCTCAGCGAAGCTAATATGAAGGTAAGCTAAGCTAAGATAAACCTGAGCTAATACGAAGCTAAACTAAGCTAATATTAAATAAGCTAAGCTACGATGAGATGAGCAACGCTAAGCTAAGAGGACGTAGCTGGGGGAACCTCGGGGCGGATGCCGGGGGAACCGCCCGGGGCGATTAGCACTGCCCGGCCCTTTAAGCACACAGGGTAAGAACCCTTCTAGGCAGAGCCTAGGTAGGGAAATAGCCAGGGGACTATTTGTTTTGACCATTTTTGAGTATTTTAGGGTATTTTTGACAATTTATTTGTTTTTCGTCCAACATCTCCCTGCAGGGGGACACGCCCGACTTAACCTTGGGCCGAGGCCGAAGGGCGCCGACCGGGAGCGCTTCGGGTGGCTCTCGTGCGGCGCGACGCCCGCCGCCAGTCCCGGGCTCCGCCGCCGGCCGGGTCCGCGCCCCGCGGCGCTGGATCGCTCCACGGCATTTGGTGGGCCTGTTTTCCACCGCCACGATAAGTTGGAGGGGGGAGGGGGTCCTCCTCTCCCTCTTCCTCCTCCTCCTAGCTCCTCCTCCCCCTCCTCCTCCTCCTCCTCCTCCTCCTCCTCCTCCTCCTCCTCCTCCACCCCCCTCCCCCCTCCAGCTCATGGTGGTGGTGGTGGTGGTGGAAAACGAGCCCATCAGCATTGTCGACGTTGTCCGTCGGGTTGTGCTGCTCAGCCGCCGCGGCCCTGTGACCACCAGCGGCGGGAGAAGCGCTGGGACGCGGCTCGCGCTGGCGAGCGCGCTTCGGCGCGCGGTGCAAGCTCGACTCTGGAGAGTGCTTGTGTGGCATTCAAGTCTCTTAACCTGTGATCCGCCGAGGCGCCGCGCCATGCAGCAATGGGTGATGCCGCCGATCGGCCTGGGCTGGATCGATTGTTTTTCCACGCGGAGGCTCGCTGGAGCTCTAAAGGTCTTGAGCCGAAATGGGTACGGTGCTTTGCCGTTACCCCGTGCTCTCCGTGGCCATGCTGATGCTATTGCATGCTGGATGCTGACTTTCAGGGGCTCTGCGAAACGAAGCGGCGGCTGGATACCAGCCACACTCCGCGCGTCGCACCCCCCCCGTGCGACTTTGACCCGGAGGCGGCCCGATACCAGCCACACTCCAAGGGCCGAGCCGCACGAATGTTTCACAGCCTGTCCTGGCCGCGTGGCCGATGGACCTTGCGAATGGTTTTGGCACCGGACTCGGCTGCATTCGAAACTGTGCACGACTTCCTCTGGCAATTCGGGTTACAAGCTCGGCCCAAGAAGTTCGGCCACGTTCACAGGGCGCGGTTCGTGGCCACGGAGAAAATCATTTGCACCAGAAATTAGGACAGCTTAAACTTACAGGTTCGGCTCGCGAAGCGAGCTTGACTACATGAGATATCAGAAGATGTAAGACAAAATGTTGCCAATCGGACTTGTCTTTAACTACGCATATTTGCAACTAGGCCTATGGAGAATTATACATACAATCGATCGCCGATGGGTGAGGTGACGGACGTCTCAGGTGCCAGACAGAGCTTGCGGTAGTGCATTTTCTGCGTGATGGCTCGCGGCCGAGCTCGTCGCCGCATCGCTACGGGAGGAGGCGGCGGTGTTCCGAGGATCTCGATCGACTCCTTGTTCGTTGGCCAGAAATCCGACCTCACGCCGCTGACGGTGCCAGGCATGAAGGGCGAGGAACGCAGCATGGTGATGTGCGCGAACGTGCCGTTGATAGGGTTCCAGCACGGCAGCTGCCCAGTGCAGTGGCTGTCGGAGTGCTTGAGGATGCTGAGCTTCCCTGGGCTGCTGCCCAAGTCTGACGGCGAGCCCACGATCGTAGACGTGACGAGCCGTGCCAAGGAGATCTTTCAGGGGATCAAGGGATGGGACCAACATCGCCTTCCAGGATCGCCCCGCGCACGAGTCGCAGGCCAACGGCCCCATCGAGGGCACGAGCAGCATCATCGAGGATCTCATCAGGTGCTGCGAGGACCGGCTGGATTTCAGGTGCGAGAAGGTGTTCAGCTCTGACCACCCCGCCGTGGCTTGGCTGGTTCAGCACGTCGGCTGGGTGCACTCTCTCTTCACCGTGGGGGGCGACGGCAAGACCGCAGGCGGGCGCCACGCTGGCAAGAGGGTGAGAATCCCGCTGCGCGCCTTCGGTGAGTGTATCCTGTACAGGCCGGCGAAGAAAGAGGGGGGCTGGTCAAGATGGAGCCGAGCTTGGAGACTGGCGTGATGCTGGGCGTGGCCGAGAGGACTCCGGAGCGCCTCGTGGGCCGCGCGGAGGACGGGCACGGGATGAGGCGCATGGGGTGTCGAGAGGCTGCCGCTGGAGGAGCGCTGGAGGCAAGCGGCCGTTCTCGCGCTTCGAGGTGCCCCGCCGTGGCCACCGACGCTGGGTCGGGGGAGGGGGGGTGCGCGGCGTGGCGGCCTCCGCAGCGCCGCCGGCCGTCGAGGGCGCCGGCGTGCCCGCCGCGGAGGCAGAGGTTGGCGACCCGACGTGCGGGAGGCAATGCTCAGGAGGGGAAAAAACACACAGGCACAATTAATCGTCGACTTCCCCAGAAAATGTGGGAAAATATGGGAAGTGGGGGGGAAGAGAAAATCCCAGAAAATATGGGAAAGTATGGGGAATATTGTTATTTGTGTGTATTTATTTGTGTGTCCCAGTTCCCCTTCATTCGGGAAGGCGCCGGACTGCCCAGCGTGCTCCCCCAAGGGCCTGAGCCGCGTTGCGCTCTTGGAGCCGCGCCGCGCGAGGATCGTGGAGTCCATCGCGGACAGCCCAGCCGAGAAGAGGAATGCTAGTAATCATATTCTTCGTATTCGTAAAAGTGATTGATCATATGTATAATCATACGATTACGAAGAATAAAAGTAATCATGCTATAATGATACTACTATGATGGATAATCAAAGGAATACGATCGCATAATAATAGCAATGATAACAAGAAATGCCAGAGCCCACCCGCGCTGGAGAGAGAAACCGAGCAGATCCGGGCCGACGCTGGGATGCCAGGTGAGGTGCGGAGGCGGTTGCTGCTGACGCTCCGATGTCAAAGGAGCGCGAGTGCGGCGCCATGTGGCGAGAAGGTGGCCATGCTTATGTCCACCCAGGCGGTCGCGGACGAGGGCGACTTCGACCGCGAGGCGGAGAGGGGGCTGCGTGGCGCGGGTGGGCGGGGCTACTGGGGCGATCTTTTGGGCCTGCCGTTGCCGCGGGGGGCTGTGCTGGAGGCTCGGCTCCAGAAGATGTCGGAGCGCGAGAGCTTCGAGTTTGCGTGCAAGTGCAGTGGCGGCGAGGCCTGGCGTGCGACGGGAGGGGCCAGACCAGAGCCGCTGGGAGGTGATCGACAAGGGCGGTGCTGACAGCGTGGGCGTGCGAGCCAGGCTGGTGGCCGAGCGTTTCCAGAAGGCGGGCGCGGACGCGATCTTCGCTCGGATGCCACCGCTTGCGGCGCTCGGGCTCCTGTGCAGTGGCGATGTGACGCTGCGCAGGGCGGGGGGGGGTGAGGGTGCTGCCCTTCGTCGACTTCGAGTGGGCCTTCTTCCACGCGCACTCGCGCAAGCCCTGGCAGGTGCGACGGGGGCGTGGGCGTGCAAAAAGTCGATGCGCGGTGCGCTCGGCGCCGCCGGGGACTTCCATGATGAGCAGATGGGCGCGATGGAGACTGCCGTGGGCACGGCCCGCGGCAAGGCCTACCCGACGGTGTTCTACGCCGGCGAGATGGGCGCCAGGGCGCGCGGGCACGGCGTCGACGTCCTGTTCGAGGGCGGTCGATTCCGTGGAGCTGGCCATCGGAGGGCCGCGTGCGAGGTTCGACTTGGCTGTGAAGTGCAACCTTGGGCCGGGTACGGGCGACGACATGTAGGGGCCGCTGCTGAACAGGGTGATCTCCTGGACTGCCGACATCATCTTCTGGGGGGCCGGCACGTGCCGGACGGAGCTGCCGATCGCTGAGCTGGACCCGGTGGGGGCCGAGTCGATGGTGATGCCTGGCAAGCGCCCGGCGGCGGGGGAGTGGCTGGCGGCCGCAGCGCTGCCTACTGAGTCCGAGACGGCGTGCTTGAAGGTGGCCGCTTGAGAGGACTGCGCGAGGTGCCGCCCCGACCCATGCTGCGCTGCGATGGAGTGCTGCCGTGGGATGGCGCAGCCGCTGGACGTGCGTCTCAAGCTGCTGGCTCGTGCGGGGCGGTGCCTCGGGGGCGCGGAGCGGCTGCGCCAATGGTTCGCGTGGCAGGAGGAGGTGGCCCGCCTGGCGTTCCACTCCGACGCTGACCGCGCGAGCTGCGCGCGCGGCGCGCTCCGCGTCTGGGGCATGCGCGCCGCCGGGCAGCCGCGCGCTGCGCTTTCGGGCCAGTGTCCAGGCGGTGGTGGCAGCTGGTCGCGGCGAGTCCGAGTGCTGCGCAGTGGCGCGCGCGAGCTCGGAGGCCCTGGGCGTGGGTCGACGCGCGAGGACGCTGGCGTGAGGTGCGACGTCGTGGGCAAGATCGACTCCGCATCTGCCATTGACATTGCGATGCGACGAGGTCTCGGCAAGGTAAAGGTACGCGGCGACGCAGTGCCCGTGGTTGCAAGATCGCGTGCAGCGTGGCGAGATCGTGCTGGCGAAGGTCGAGGCCGCCCAGGACGTGGCCGACCTCTTCGCGAAATGCTTCGCGAGGCCGAGGATTATGGCGCTGATGTGCGGCGTGGGCTCGAGCTGCGTGAAGGGCGTGCTGAGCCCCGGGGCTCGACGTGAATGCGGCAGAGACGAGTGCGACATCGCCTCTGGCGGCGACGTCGTTGGCGAGCGCTGTGGGCGGCGTGGGGGGCCGGTTGGAGGAGGCCGATCTTTCGTGGGGCCGCGAGATCGGCTACCCGCTGCCGCAGGTGCCGCCTGTAGCAGTGCTGCTCGGCGTGCGCCTCGGCGTGAAGATCGGGGAGCTGCTCTGCGTCGCGCGCCGGGTGCTGGGGCTGAGCAGATGGACTCGGGCCTCCGACAGCCGACCCGGGGTCGGCGTGGGCTGCAGGGCCGGCGGGGGCAAGGTCGGAGCGAGGTGGCCGCGCTCGGGACCAGTCGAGGACTGCTGTGCGTGAGGGTCTGTGCGTGACGACGTGCGGCGAGCGCTGCGGCTTCGTGTGGGGCTGCTGCGACCGGGCCAACTCAGTGGTGGGTCAGTTGGCGCGGCCGTGCAAGTTATGCTGCGGCCGCGCGTGATGGGGCGGAGCTGGGGTCCAACGGCGCCCTGGCCATTTTTTGTTGTCGCAGGCTTGGCGGGTCATGGGGTGGGCTGGCGCTGCGACCGAGCCCCGTGTTCGCGCGGCTGGGGGGTGCTCATCGTTGCTTCTCCCTGCAGCCACGTGGCTTGGCCGTTTCAGGCCCTGCAGAGGCCCGCAGCAGAAATCGCAGTTTTCCCGCCGTGGTGATGAGGGGTCAACGCAGACAGCACTTCCCGTTCTACCGCGCCTCGACGTGCCAGTGGGCGCGGAGGCGGATAGGGAGCGATAGAGCCTTCTCCGCGGGGGGAGAGGGGGTCTGAATGATTAATTCGTCAGACCACCTACGCCCAGAGGGCTGGTTGGATTAGAGTTGGAGCTGTAGGTGCGATTCTATCGCAGTCGAAGGCTGCTATAGGGCGATTGGAGTTGTTGCTCCAGTTGGCTTCTGTCCAGCTGCCTTTGGCAATTCCGCCACCGTGCCAGCGAAATATTCCTGGGTGCCAGCTGCTCGAAGTGGCAATGGGGGCCTGCTGAGGGCCTCTTGGGGCAGAAACCAGCAACTCGGGGTCAGCGGTCTCGCTCTTAGGCCCGTCTTGGGGCCTTCTTGAGCAGTCGTGGGCGCCTCTTGGGCTGTCTTAAAACCCACTTGGTCCGTCTTGGGATACTTTTTGGGGCCTCTTCGGCCGTTTCGTGGGAGTCTACAGGGCGTCTAAGACAGTCTGGGAACGTCGGAAGCTAGAAAAAGCGAGAACCCCAAAGCGCTCTGTTCGTCCCCTCCCTCCCTCGTCCTCCTCCTCGTCCTCCGCTCCTTATCCTCCTCTCGTCCTCCTCCATCATGACTTCGTTATTGACCCCGTTCTTTTTCCCATTCCTCCTTCTCCTCCCGCTCTTTCTCCTCCTCCTCCTCCTCCTCCTCCTTTGCCCCTGTGCTGACCGTGCGGACTTCGCCGTTCCGTCTGAGTCCCGCGCCAGCCTGTTTTCACCCCGTCCAGCATCGATCCCTCTCGCCTCCTTTTCCTCTCCTCCCTCTTGTCCCTTCGCCTCGTTTTCCCCCCTGTCTCCCTCCTTCCTCTACTTTTCTCTTTCTTCTGCTCCTCCTCATCTCTTCTTTCCTGCTGTCCATTCTCCTCCTCCTCCTCCTCCGCCCTTTGTTATCCCCCGTTGTCGTTCTAGTCCCCTGCCGTCCCCATGCCCTCGTCCGTGTTGTCGTCGTTGTCCTCCAGTCTCCCTCTCTCGTCACTCGTCCTATGTCTCCATCGTTGTCCTCGTCATTGTCGGCGCTGCCTGTCTCCTCGTCTCGTCGTTCTGGCCTCTTCGTCCTCGCCCACCCTCCTTCCCCCCCGTCCTCCCCCTCTCCCCCCTCTCCTCTCTGCACCCCTGCCCTCCTCCCCTCCTCCCCTCTCTCCTCTGTGCCCCTGTCCTCCCCTCCCCCCGCTCCCCTCTCCTTCTTGCCCTCCTCCCTCGATGAGGAGGAGGAGGAGGAGGAGGAGGAGGAGGAGGAGGAGGAGGAGGAGGAGGAGGAAAAAGAAAAAGAAGAATAATAAACATAAGCAGAAGCATAAGCAGAATAAGAACAAGAAGAAGCAGAAGCATAAGCAGAAGCAGAAACATAAGCATACGCAGAAACATAATAATAAGAATAATAAGAAGAATACTACGAATAAGCAGAACCAAACAATAATAATACGAATAATAATAGTAATAATACTAATACGAACAATATTAAGAATACTAAGAATAATAAGCATAAGCAGAAACAGAAGAAGCATAAACAAAAGCAGAAGCAGAAGCAGACGCAGAAGCATAATAATAATAATACTAATAATAATAATCATAATAACAAGAAGAATAAACATACGCATAAGCAGAATAATAATGATAAGCATAATCATAATAATAATAAGCAGAATCATACGAAGACGAATAAGAAGCATAATAATACAACAACTATTAATAAGAATAAACAGACACATAATAATAAGCATAA